ATACACACACAAAGTATAACCCTACTTGTACAGAAGCATCAAATGTATACAAGGTGTAACCTTAAATGTACTGCAACAGTATTCACACACAATGTATAACCTTACATGTACTGCAGCATCAAACACTCACTAGGTTTAACCTTACAGGTACTGTAGCATTATTCACACTCTAGGTTTAACCTTACAGGCACTGTAGTGTCATACACAAAATGTATAACCTTCCAATTACAGTAGCATCATACATACACTAGGTTTTACCTTAAATGTACTGGAGCATCATTCACACATTATGTATAACCTAACATGTACTGAAGCATCTCACACACACACACACGGTTTAACCTTACATATACTGTAGCATCATTCCCACTCTAGGTTTAACCTTAAATGTACTGTAGCATCATTCACACATTATGTATAACCTAACAGGTACTGAAGCATCACACACACACGGTTTAACTTTACATGTACTGTAATACCATACACACACTATGTATAACCTTACAGGTACTGAAGCATCACACACTGTAGGTTTAACCTTACATGTACTGAAGCATCTCACACACACACACGGTTTAACCATACATGTACTGTAGCATCATTCACACTCTAGGTTTAACCTTAAATGTACTGAAGCATCACACACACTATGTTTAACCTTACATATACTGTAGCATCATACATACACAAGGTTTAGCCTTACATGTACTGTAACATCAGACATAAACTAGGTTAAACCTTCGATTTACTGTAGCATCATACACACACTACGATTAAGCTTAAATGTACTGTAACAATATTCACTCACTATGTATAACATTACATATACTGTAGAAGTAGACTCCACCACAGGATATTAATGATACAATATACCTTATGTGTATGCAAGCACCTTCAAATGCAAGGTAGTATGTATCTTTTTATCAAATCAAGTTCTTGTACAAAGTTACCGTATTGATGACGCCATATGAGTTCTGGTTAATTTGTAATTGTTTTGTTTATAGTCATTTTGGCCATCAGGTTCATCATTATTTCATGAGTATGCCAACAAATTTCTTCAAAAACATATGTAAACTTTTTTAACATGAAAGTTCAAGGTCAGATGAACCTGCTGGACAGATATGTGCATCTTACAATCATTCCATACACAAAATATAGTTGACCTTTTGCTTATAGTAAGAAATGGACCTAACCACGAAAACTTAACATTGACCAATGAATCGTAAAAATGAGGTTAAGTTCAGATAGTATGTATTGAACTTCTTAAAATATCTGGATAATGCATGTGCTACATCAAAATATTCTAATGTATTTAACTATCAGATTGTGTTGTCCAACTGCTTAAATTATACTACATGCATTATGAAAAACAAAGTTGACCACAAAAACTAAACCTTGATGACTGAAAATGTCTCCATCTCTCCACCAGAGACCAAATGACATAGAAGTTGAAAATTATAGGTCATAGTACAGCCTTCAACAATGAGCAAAATCCATACAGCATAGTCAGCTATTAAAGGCCCTGACCTGACAAATGTATAACAATTCAAACGAGAAAATTAACGGCCTGATTTATGTACAAAACAATGAACGTTAAACAAATATGATATACAGCAACAATCGACAACCACTGATATACAGGCTCTTGACTTGGGACAGGTACATACAGAGTGTGGCAGAATTAAACATGTTTGCGGGCGCCCAACCCTCTCTCTAACCTTGGACAGTGGTGTAACAGCACAACATATGAACAAACTATAAAAATCAGCTGAAAAGGGCTTGAGCGCTCACAAACATGTTTAACCCTGCCACATTCTTTATATGCCTGTCCCAAGTCAGGAACCTATAGTTCAGTGGTTGTTGCTGGTTCATGTCTGTCATATTTGTTTTTCGTAAATTGTTTTGTTATAAATTAGGCTGTTAGTTTTCTCAATTGAATTGTTTCATATTTTTCATGTGGGGGCCTTTTATAGCTGACTATACAGTATGGGTTTTCTCATTGTTGAAGGTCGTACGGTTGCCTATAATTGCTTACATCCACTTTATTTGAACTTTGGTGGATAGCTGTCTTATTGGCAATCATACCACATCTCCTTATTTTTATATTAACTCATCAGATCGATACAAACCAGAAAAACAAGTAACAAAAACACAGATCTGATGTGGCAGGGTATTTATATATCTCCACAACAAAAAAGAACTGAGTACAGATCTGAGAGTACTCACAGTTACTGACAGCTAGTTCAAAACCAATAACAACTAATAAAAAACTTATGTATCTAAGACTAAACTATCAATCAGTACACATCCAACATCCAATGGATTTAGTGTAAAGATGTCATTAACAGTCCAAGAAAAACATGACCTTGTGCAATGCCAGATTGTAGAACCATGTATGTGCACCTGTTTCAAGTCACCACTTAAGTCTTGACAGAAATTACCAATTGTTCATATGAACATTGTAAGATAAGATTTTCCCCAAACTAACCAGTATATATTGACAATGACTGTTTAGAATATAACTAGAGGTACTGAATTTATTATTTCCTAATCTTTTGTTGTGATGAATCAACTTTTGACTCACATCATAGGGGTATGACAAGTTTTCATGAAAATGATAGATTTTTGCTCTGTGGTCAGCCACTGTTATGCTGATATTTGGTATTTTATTGTATGGTTTATTGCAAATCTAATACAAGTATAGTTTCACTTGATCTACCATGACTTAATGATAACCCTTGATATCAGTATAATGAACACAAATACGACAAAATACAGAGCATGCAATTATTGTTTAAAAATAATTGTTTAATAAGTTACAATTGTAGTTCAACCTCAAAATAAACTTTTGGCACCAGCAAACATGTTTAACCCTGCAAAATTTTTTATATGCCTGTCCCAAGTCAGGAGCCTGTAGTTCAGTGGTTGTCTTTGGTTCATGCCTGTCATATTTGTTTTTCGTAAATTGTTTTGTTATAAATTAGTCTGTTAGTTTTCTCAATTGAATTGTTTCACATTTTTCATGTTGAGGTATTTTATAGGTAACAATATGGTATGGGTTTTTCTCATTGTTGAAGGTGGTACAGTTGCCTATAATTGCTTACATCCACTTCATTTGAACTTTGGTGGATATTTGTCTCATTGGCAATCCTACCACATCTCCTTATTTTTATATTATAAGATATGTAGCTGCTCAAAAATTTATAAGTGCATTGTAATTTTTATTAGAAGTCACTGGACCACCTCAAAATGGTGTATTCTTATATGTTAGAATCAGTAATTTCACAAGGTCTTGTAATGGCAGCTTCACTCAAGATTCTTTGTTCTGTTATTAGTATATGTTAACTCTACATAGGCTTGCAAATGTCACTCAAATAATTTAACCATACCTGTCAACCTATGACAATTAAAATGCAGGTGATGACCTGCATAGAATAATGAAATCTCAGGTCATAACACGTACGAACTTTTTCAAGCTGAATTTCAGTATTTAGGGGACATTTTACTTATATTTTATATTAAAGTTTCCAAAACATGTCCACATGGTTATGTAATTTAAAATTGTACATTTTATTATTTCAATCCACTTGGAGGCCATTGATAGATTTGTGTTACATTGCCTTTATTCCTGCTAATATTCAGTCCTTGAGGTATAGATGAAAAAAGCAATTTTCAAAATTTTTATTTTTTAATTGTTAGGTAGAACAATAAGTAAAAGTATTATTCTGATATGTTTTTGCATTCAATTCATTTTAGATTTAATCTTTTTACAAAAAACACATAAGTTTAAGGAGTATGTTGTGAATTGACAAAAAAGGGGAAGTAACTCAAATTGTTTTTCAAACAACTTTGAAATACACAAATTATTTACGACCTAAAGCTAAGGTAATTGGTGTTAATTAACAATGTGTTTGACACCAAAGCTGTCAGGTGAAGCCATGCACTGAAATGGGTCACTTGAGCTGAGTTTACACAGCTAATTGGACTTCTTGTCCAGGAAGAATTACGAATTTGCCGGTATTTTAAAGAAATCAGTTTATATCTAATCAGTCTGAAGGCTTAGGAATCCGGGTGAAAACGGGTTATTTTCCGAATTCCAGGGTTATTTGGTCACCCGGCCGGTGTTCAGGGTTACCCCTCAGAATTGTGAAAATCTTGGGTCACACCCGCAGGATCCGGGTCAGTTGACAGGTATGATTTAACACATTTTTTTCGGGTGGAAAGGGATTAAATTGGTATTGTTGATGTTGTTTTAATTTACAAACAAATTTTTTGACAAGAGTTTTGTCTTTAAGCTGATGAGTCAGCTCAAGTAGGATATATGGTACTATAGTTCCGGCTTTTTCAATAAATTCTTAGGCTTGCATATTCTTGGGCTATAAAGATATTCAAAATATGTAAGGTAAAAATTACAAGTTGACAGGTCGACAGGTCAACAGTTGACGTAAATTAAGTCAACAAATTAAACTATTTCGTTACATTTAAACAACATAATAATGCTTTTAGTGGTAACAATTAACAAGTAGACAGTTGACAAGTAGACAGTCGACCGATCTATAAAAGAAATGACTAAATCAAATTTATACCAAAAATAATTATTATAGTAGTTGACAGTCAACAAGTCGACAGTTGACCAAAACTATTCAATTTCATACAAACACCATAATGCCAAATTGATGAAGGTAAACTAATCAGAAGACTTGTTAATTAGTTGATTTGTCAGCTTGTTGACCTGTTAATTTATTACAAATTTTATAGAGGCTTCATTCCAAATAGATTTATGTCGATCTTTCAACCTGGCAACTTGTCAACCTGTCAACCTATTGACCTATGCACATAAAAGTTCAACCTGTCAACTTGTCGACTTATGTACATATAAACCGATTTATTCCTCTATTCTTCCGATGGAACTACAATCCCGTATATCCTACTTGACCTGATGATTCTTAGTACTATTGGTGTACATCAACCAATTGAATTAAAAAGAATGATAGTACAAATCATTGCATAGATCAACTATTTTACTGATGGTAAAAATGACATTATTAAACAAACAAATATACAAAATAAAATAACATTCCATAGAAAATCAGAAAAAGCACTTTTTTCTTTCCTTATTTTATGATGTCCAGAATCTAAATAATATTTGAGAACCTCTGATATATCATTCTGTTTTGTAGGATTATAGCCCAGTTGTTTCCTGGCTTTCTCTATGCTAAAGTAATGTGTCACCCCAGTCTTGAACACCTGAAAGATAAATGACCACATTATTTGAGTTGAAAATATTTTGAAATCCAAATTATGCAGGTGGCTGGTTTAACATGTTGAAATTAAGATAGGACCATTTGAAAAAAATAACAATATGTAAGTATATTATAGTTTAATAATTTACCATCAAAAAGAATAAAAGAAAATATGGCTTGTCAATCACTTAAAACAATACTTTGAAAGCTGAGTTCCATGGATGTTGATGCAACTGTTTACTAAATTCCAATGATTTATCATGACTACTTATTCTTAAATGGACCTAACATTAATTGTTGACAACGATGTTGTCATCAGAAAGTGGAGCCTATATTCCACAAATACATGTACACCTTACAATCATTCCATACACCAAATATAGTTGACCTATTGCTTATAGTTTCTAAGAATCAAACTTAACCAGGCAAACTTAACATTTAATAATGAACCATGCAAACGAGGTCAAGGTCAGATGAATCATGCCAGACAGACATGTACACCTTACAATCATTCCATACACCAAATATAGTTGACCTATTGCTTATAGTATCTAAGTAACAAACTTAACCATGAAAACTTAACATTGACCAATGAACCATGAATATGAGGTCAAGGTCAGATGATACCTGTCAGACAGACCTATACACCTTCCAATCATTCCATACACCAAATATAGTTGACATATTGCTTATAGTTTAAGAAAAAACAGACCAAAACACAAAAACTTAACACTGAGCAATGAACCATGAAAATGAGGTCAAGGTCAAATAAAACCTGCCAGACTGACATGTACATCGTAAAATATTTCCACACACCAAATACATTTGACCTATTGCATATAGTATAAGAAAAACAGACCAAAACACAAAACTTAACTTTAACCACTGAACCATGAAAATGAGGTCATGGTCAGATGACACCTGCCAGTTGGACATGTACACCTTACAATCATTCCATACACCAAATATAGTAGACCTATTGCTTATTGTATCTGATATATGGACTTGACCACAAAAATTTAACCTTGCTCACTGATCCATGAAATGAGGTTGAGGTCAGATGAAAACTGTTTGACAGGCATTAGAACCTTGCAAGGTACGCACATACTAAATATAGTTATCCTATTACTCATAATAAGAGAGAAATTAACATTACAAAAAATCGTAACTTTTTTTCAAGTAGTCACTGAACCATGAAAATGAGGTCAAGGACAATGGACATATGGCAGACAGAAACTTCATAACATAAGACATCTATATACAAAGTATGAAGCATCCAGGTCTTCCACCTTTTAAAATATAAAGCTTTTAAGTAGTTAGTTAAAGCCACCACCGCCGGATCACTATCCCTATGTAGAGCTTTCTGCAACATAAGTCGCAGGCTAAAAAAAAAATGACTTGCCTGAATTTGGAAGTATATGTTCATGGCTGAATCAGAGAACAGTAAAGTATTGACAAGAAAGGGGAGTTGTAATGTTATACCAATACGGATAAGAAAGGGGAGTTGTAATGTTATATCAGTACAGACAAGAAAGGGGAGTTGTAATGTTATATCAGTACGAACAAGAGAGGGGAGTTGTAATATTATGTCAATATGGACAAGAGAGGGGAGTTGTAATGTTATGTCAGTACGGACAAGAAAGGGGAGTTGTAATGTTATGTCAATAGGGACAAGAAAAGGGAGTTGTAATGTTATATCAGTACGGACAAGAAAGGGGAGTTGTAATGTTATATCAATATGAACAAGAAAAGGGAGTTGTAATGTTATATAAATACGGACAAGAAAGGGGAGTTGTAATGTTATGTCAATATGGACAAGAAAGGGGAGTTGTAATGTTATGTCAGTACGGACAAGAAAGGGGAGTTGTAATGTTATGTCAATAGGGACAAGAAAAGGGAGTTGTTATGTTATATCAATACGGACAAGAAAGGGGAGTTGTAATGTTATATTGATACAGACAAGAAAGGGGAGTTGTAATGTTATATCAGTACAGACAAGAAAGCGGAGTTGTTATGTTATATCAGTACGAACAAGAGAGGGGAGTTGTAATATTATGTCAATATGGACAAGAAAAGGGAGTTGTAATGTTATGTCATGTTATGTCAATAGGGACAAGAAAAGGGAGTTGTAATGTTATATCAGTACAGACAAGAAAGGGGAGTTGTAATGTTATGTCAATATGGACAAGAAAGGGGAGTTGTAATGTTATGTCAGTATGGACAAGAAAGGGGAGTTGTAATGTTATGTCAATAGGGACAAGAAAAGGGAGTTGTTATGTTATATCAATACGGACAAGAAAGGGGAGTTGTAATGTTATATTGATACAGACAAGAAAGGGGAGTTGTAATGTTATATCAGTACAGACAAGAAAGGGGAGTTGTAATGTTATATCAGTACGAACAAGAGAGGGGAGTTGTAATATTATGTCAATATGGACAAGAAAAGGGAGTTGTAATGTTATGTCAGTACGGACAAGAAAGGGGAGTTGTAATGTTATGTCAATAGGGACAAGAAAAGGGAGTTGTAATGTTATATCAATACGGACAAGAAAGGGGAGTTGTAATGTTATGTCAATATGGACAAGAAAGGGGAGTTGTAATGTTATGTCAGTACAGACAAGAAAGGGGAGTTGTAATGTTATGTCAATATGGACAAGAAAGGGAAGTTGTAACGTTATGTCAGTACGGACAAGAAAGGGGAGTTGTAATGTTATGTCAGTAGGGACAAGGAAGGGGAGTTGAAATGTTATGTCAATAGGAACAAGGAAGTGGAGTTGTAATGTTATGTCAGTACAGACAAGAAAGGGAGTTGTTATGTTATGTCAATAGGGACAAGTAAGGGAAGTTGTAACGTTATGTCAGTACGGACAAGAAAGGGGAGTTGTAATGTTATGTTAGTATGGACAAGAAAGGGGAGTTGTAATGTTATATCAGTACGGACAAAAAAGGGGAGTTGTAATGTTATGTCAATATGGACAAGAAAGGAGAGTTGTAATGTTATATCAGTACGGACAAGAAAGGGGAGTTGTAATGTTATGTCAATAGGGACAAGAATGGGGAGTTGTATAGTTACATCAATACGGACAAGAAAGGGGAGTTGTAATGTTATAATAATATGGACAAGAAAGGGGAGTTGTTATGTTATGTCAATAGGGACAAGAAAGGGGAGTTGTAATGTTATGTCAGTACAGACAAGAAAGGGAGTTGTAATGTTATGTCAGTACGGACAAGAAAGGGGAGTTGTAATGTTGTATCCATACGGACAAGAAAGGGGAGTTGTAATGTTATATTGATACAGACAAGAAAGGGGAGTTGTAATGTTATATCAGTACGGACAAGAAAAGGGAGTTGTAATGTTATGTCAATATGGACAAGAAAGGGGAGTTGTAATGTTATGTCAGTACGGACAAGAAAGGGGAGTTGTAATGTTATGTCAATATGGACAAGATTGAGGAGTTGTAATGTTTTATTAATACATACTTCAGTCCTGGTGAGTAAAGGTTGGAAATTATAAACCCTTGCTACAAAGTAATGGATCCATTCTGTTAGGAAAGCTGCAATTGGAAATCAGTCATCTGGTTATGTAATATAAAAGTCTTTCTTCAATGAATGAATGGTGATATAAAATGATTAAATAGTTTTATTTGGACATGGTGAGATCTTTTTAATATTCACTTCTAATAATCAAATATATCTGCCTTTTATGAAAAACAAAACTGTCATGGTTTTCTTAACATTAATATTTGTATAAGATCAGATGCTTGATCATGCTTCAAATAGAAAAATATCCTAACTCTTAAAACATAACTGTTTAGAATCCAATATACAATATCATCTCCAATATCCATCTATTTCATTACAAATCACAAATTTCTCCTTACACATTCATAATTTTATTTTAATCAGCTTTACACCTTTTTCCAGAAAAATCGATATTTGTAATTAATATAAAATTGAAAATATTATATAAGACACGCCAGTCCAGACATGATATGGGCAGAATTGAATCCACTTGAGAAATTGACACAATGTACAACTCAGAGTTTAACTAAATTGAATTAATATTTGTTCCCATGTGTCAAAGAAAACATTGATTTTTAACACGTCCAAGGATAGATAACTCATAATGATATGAAATACATACTTCACTTGTTAGAACATAATCAATAGAGCTAATATGAGGGTCTGGAAGCCAGTGGTAGTTATACTGAAAACCATTCCACAGGGGCTGTTTAACTTAATCTTAGTTTGAACTAACAAGGATTGTTTTACCCTAAAAAGACCCAGAGATCATTGTTATTGACAAAGTGCATTTCTGTATATAATAAATACATAAAAAATAAATGGGGAATGTGTCCATGGGACACAGATGATGCCCGGCTTGCATATAACGGTATAAAGGGCCATAACTCAAGAACTGTAAAAGTGACACTACCCAAATTTGAACTTGATCTGAGTTTTGTGGTAATAAGCATTGTTTATAAAATTCATAACATTTAGTTGATGTAAAATTGAATTAGAGAACAAATACGAAAAATTCAGCAATTTTTCCATTTTTAAAGGGACATAACTCTAGAACAGTTGAAGTGACGCCACCAAAATTCAATCTTTACCTGTGTTTTGTGGTAATTAGCATTGTGCATAAGTTTCATAACATTTGGTTGAGGCAAACTAAAGTTAGAGAACAAAAACTAATATTTCAGCAATTTTTCCATTTGTAAAGAGGCATAACTTTAGAACGGTGAAAGTGACAACACCAAAATTCAAACTTGATCTGTGTTTTGTGGTAATAAACACTGTGGATAAGTTTCATAACATTTGGTTGAGGCAAACTCAAGTTAGAGAACAAAAGAAACAAAAACTAGAGGCTCTAAAGAGCCTGTGTCGCTCACCTTGGTCTATGTGCATATTAAACAATGGACACAGATGGATTCATGACAAAATTGTGTTTTGGTGATGGTGATGTGTTTGTAGATCTTACTTTACTGAAAATTCTTGCTCCTTACTATTATCTCTATCTATAATGAACTTGGCCCAGTAGTTACAGTGGAAAATATTTTGTAAAAATTTACAAAAATTTACAAAATTTATGAAAATTGTAAAAAATTTACTATAAAGGGCAATAACTCCTTAAGGGGATGACAATTTTGGTCATGTTGACTTAATTGTAGATCTAACTTTGCTGTACATTATTGCTGTTTACAGTTTATCTCTATCTATAATAATATTCAAGATAATAACCAAAAGCTGCAAAATTTTCTTAAAATTACCAATTCAGGGGCAGCAACCCAACAACATGTTGCCTGATTGGTCTGAAAATTTCAGGGCAGATAGATCTTGACCTAATGAACAATTTTATACCATCAGATTTGCTCTAAATGCTTTGGTTTCAGAGATATGAGCCAAAAACTGCATTTTACCCTATGTATTATTTTTTTGCCATGTCGGCCATCTTGGTTTGTGGGCAGGATCATCGGACACATTTTTTAAACTAGATACCCTAATGATGATTGTGGACAATTTTGGTTAAATTTGTCTTAGTAGTTTCAGAGGAGAAGATTTTTGTAATATTACAAAAATTTACGAAAAATGGTTAAAAATTGACTATAAAGGGCAATAACTCCTTAAGGGGTCAACTGACCATTTTGGTCTAGTTGACTTATTTGTAGATCATACTTTGCTGAACATTATTGCTGTTTACTGTTTATCTCTATCTATAATAATATTCAAGATAATAACCAAAAACGGCAAAATTTCCTTAAAAAATTACCAATTCAGGGGCAGCAACCCAACAACGGGTTGTCCGATTCATCTGAAAATTTCAGGGCAGATAGATCTTGACCTGATAAACAATTTTACCCCATGTCAGATTTGCTCTAAATGCTTTGGTTTCAGAGATATAAGCCAAAATCTACATTTTACCCCTATGTTCTATTTTTAGCCATGGCGGCCATCTTGGTTGGTTGGCGGGGTCATCGGAAACTAGATACCCCAATGATGATTGTGGCCAAGTTTGGTCAAATTTGGCCCAGTAGTTTCAGAGGAGAAGATTTTTGTAAAAGTTTACGGACGACGGATGACGGACGCAAAGTGATGAGAAAAGCTCACTTGACCTTTCAGGTCAGGTGAGCTAAAAATCAGCAATCTTTTCATTTGTAAAGGGGCATAACTCTAGAACAGTCAAAGTGACATCACCAAAGTTCAAAATTGATCTGTGTTTTGTGGTAATAAACATTGAGGATAAGTTTCATAACATTTGGTTGTGGCAAACTAAAGTGAGAGTACGGAAAAGAAAAATTCAGCAATTTTTCAATTTGTAAAGGGCATAACTCTTGAACGGTAAAAGTGATGCCACCAAAATTCAAACTTGATCTGTGTTTTGTGATAATAAGCATTGTGGATAAGATTCATAACATTTGGTTGAGGAAAACTAAAGTTAGAGAACGGAAACCAATTTTGGGACGTACAGACGGACGTACACACGGACAAGGGTTAAACTTAATGCCCCATCTGCTACGGCGGGGGCATAAAAAATCCAGCTGTCAGCTGTGATTTCTACAAGAAAGAAACCTTAGTGAGCAAGCTCGCATACCGGTACCCCATGCCCAACATTATTAATTTGAGATATTTTTAAAAGTCACCCTCTCCGAAAACAGTCCCTGATTTCATATTTTTCTGATAACCAAACTCATCCAAGGTTTTAATGAGTGGAAATATAGATTCCACCACTACAACAAGTGTGTTACAATATTTCTCCACTCGAGACAGTTAAATTTTAATATTTAAAGCGCGAGGCTTGCCGAGCTTTTTAAATGATTAAAATTTAACTGTTGAGAGTGGAGAAATATCATGATACACGAGTTATAATGGTGGAATCTGTTTCTCTAATGATTTTTATCCTTCCTTTTCAAAGATTTGCAGGACGTTGTGTTCTTTATATGTGCCTCCTCAGGCATGGTCGCCTTTTTTCATGATGTCACAATAGGAAAATTTAGAAGAAACCAAGAAAATTTGACGTCATAATCAAATTTCGACCAATCATTTGCCGAGAACAGATATTTCACTAGTGAGGAGAAATATTTTTCTCACACCGATCAAGAAATGTGAAAATAGCACAAATATTAGAGAAATCATCATACACATTTGAAGAGAATCTGATAATAAAAGAAGATGACATTTAGGCAACAAGAATTAATATGGGATATTTTTACAAGTCCCACTCTCTACAAAATTGATGCACCATTTCAAAATTTTCCTGATTATTGAACTCATCCAAAAGTTTGATAAGTTGAACCTTTATACAAATTTGAAGAGAATCTGATTAGAAATGACAGCACTATCCAAGGATAAATTTGGGATATTTTTAAAAGTCCTCCTCTCAAATTGTTCTCCATTACAGATTTTTCTGATTATCTAACTCATACAAGTTTTGATAAGTCAAAACCCTCATTCAAATTTGAATATTATCCAACAAATAAAATGGAGATGCTAGCATAGCAATAACAAAATGATGGTTGACGAACAGACTGATGAAAGTGACAAAAACATTATACCCTTTGCAACTTTGTTGCTTTAGGTATAATAAGATTTTTGTTGTATAGTCTACTGTTTTGGGAGAAAAAAATAAAGAACAAATATAGAAAAATCTATCAGCTCTTACTCACAATATGGAAAAGTTTATGTAAGAGGGGTTGATTCAGTTTGACAGCTTCATATGTACCTACTTTTTACCTTTTTATACTGGACCAAATCTCTACTTTACCTTAATATCTACAAACTACCTTTTTACAGTTGTTATTTCATCTCACTGCTTACTATTAAATGCATCAAACATGAACGTATAAATAGGGGTTGTATGAAAAAAAAAGTAGGAACAAATATAGGGTTTTATTTGTAGGCAACACTAATCATAGATTGATAATAGTGTTCTCAGACCAAATAGAGAGGCAAAATTTAACTGTGCAATTTCAGTAAGAATTTTAGTGAAGTGTACTGCTTTTTCAAAATTATACAAAATTATTGAAAAAAATGTGGATAGTGTCCACATGTGGATAGTGTCCACATGTGGACACAGATGATGCCCCCGCTTGCATATCATATAGTTATAAAGGGGCATAACTGAAGAACGGTAAAAGTGACTCTACCCAAATTTGAACTTGATCTGAGTTTTGTGGTAATAAGCATTGTGTGTAAGTCTCATAACATTTGGTTGAGGCTAACTTAAGTAGAGAACAGAAACTAAAAATTCAGCAATTTTTCTATTTGTAAACAAGCATAACTCGAGAACGGTTGTGTATAAGTTTTATAACATTTGGTTGAGACAATCTAAAAAATTCAGCAATTTTCATGTTTATAAAGGGACATAACTCAAGAATGGTAAAAGTGTCGCCACCAAATTTCGTACTTAATCTGTATTATGTAGTAATAAGCATTGTGTATAAGTTTCATAACATTTGGTTGAGGCAAACTAAATTTAGAAAACGGAAACAAAAAAATTGTACTTGATCTTAGTTTTGTGGTAATGAATATTGTGTATAGGTTTCATAATATTTGG